CTGTTTGAACTTGAGAGTTCAGCCCTGTGACCCCTTTCCTGCTGGGTAGTCAGCCAGGAGGAAAGAGAGCCAGGGTGTCACAATCCAAAAATAAGTCCCCATGCCCTTCATGGAGATACGGGGTAATGTGAAGTGTGACTGCTGTCTGGTTTGCAGCTGGATGGGTGACAGAGCAGCAGGGGAGGGGTTGCAAGATGCCAGGAAGGTGCGAGCCTGCCCCTGGCTGGCTGGGAGGATGGGCCATACCTCGGTGCTTCACGCCTAAGCCTGTGATCCTTTGGGAACCTTTCTGATGCTGCTTTCTACATATGAACAGCACCGCAGTGAAGGAGGTAGAACATCCAGCTCTTCAGTGTTGATACATTCACTTTTCTCATAGGGCTGATCTTGGAACTACAAGGTGATAGCCCGCGTTCTTTGGCTCACTGCCTGTGTTGCTGTTCCTAGGTATGTGACAATCAGCTCCCTAGTTTTCAGCATGGACTCGCAGTTCCTGTGCGCCTCCAGCAACACTGAAACCGTGCACATCTTCAAGCTGGAGCACCTCACCACCAGGCAAGTGCCGCACTCAACGCAGAGCACTCACCAGACAAAAGGAGGCAGGCCCTGCTTACTCTCAGCATGGGAGATTTCTCCTGAGTGCTATCGACTCGGCTTTGTCTTCCCCAAAGTGGAAAAGTATATGTTAACAAAATTTTTGTGGCATCATGCACGAAAGCTCAAAATCTGGGGCCAAGATGCTGAGACCAAACCCCAGCTCAGCCCCGTAGGAGCTGTGATACCCTGGGAAGGTCATTTAGTCTTTCTGTGTTTCAGTTTCCTCATCCGCAGAACCAATGTAATTATCATTACACACATCTTGCAAGGAGCATGGCCTGAGTGTGGGTTATAAAGCATTTAGCGTAGCCTGGTGCCTGGCAGGTAGAAAGCACCAATAAGTGTTAACCAGGGGCACTATGAATATAACAACATCTAATATCTATTGCCACCACATGAGTTCTTGGTAAACATTTCCAGTGTCCCCTGGTGACAGGAGTGGAGGGAGGGTTGACCATAAAGTATCTGCCACAGTGTAGCCAGGGATGTATGTATCAGTTTCCTACTGCTGCTATAACAAATCAGCCCAGTGTAATGGCTTCAAACAGCTCACATTTGTTATCTCACAATTATGGAGATCAGAAGCCCAGAATGGCATGGCTGGATTCTCTGCTCAGGGTTTCTCAAGGGCAAAATGGAGCTGTCCTAATGCCAGCTGTGTTCTCATCAGGAGCTTTGAGGCTTCTTCTGGGCTCATTCCTGTCACTAGCAAGAATGCAGGTGCTCGAGGAGGTGGCAGTGGGGTCTCCGCTTCCTTGCTGCCTGTCAGCAGGGAACTGCTCTCATCTCCGAGAGGCCACCCGCTCCTTATGTAGCCTTCAAACCAGCAACAACGTGTCAGTTCCTTGTCATACCTGTGACTTGTCCCACTTGCCCTTCTGCCTTCTTTTTCTGCCACCAGTCAGAAAACGTGCTCGGCTTTTAAGGGAACACACATGTGACTAGAGCCAGCCTGGCTGGACAGTCACCTGGGCCACGTAACAGAGCACAGCTTGGAGCTTATCTCATCTCCATCATGGGCTCCGGGGACCAGGGCGTGGAGTCTTGGGCCCTTCCTAGGAATTCTGCCTGCCAGGGTGTGTGGGTGTGTGCTTACAGCTGTCGAGCACCTGCTGGTGCGTGACCCTGTTGGCTTCAGGAGCCCTCTGCACTGGGATGAGGTGGAGGATTCCCCTCTCAGGCACGGACCACGCAGTGTCACCTGGCGCTGTCCTCCCCGCCCCGCATGCTCCAGACCCGGATTCTGGCAGCACAGCACAGGGCTCATGCCTTTCCTCAGGCTCAGGCACCTCCTGTGCTTGACACCTGTTTTTGGTGTCACCTTAGGGAACTAAGACGTGGAGTGTTAGTGATTTTTTTGCTCAGTTACACTCTGAGAGCAGGTGGCAGGGTCATCGGTGGAGAGCAGCTCACTCAGCCTCCCGCCCTCCTCTCTCGGGCCACAGTGTTTCTAGAAGGCAGCAGACAGGAGGTGTCAACTGAGCTCTCAGAGTCCTGCTCACAGCCAGCCTGTCTCGAGGTCCAGATCCACAGCAGTCGTACTGCCCTCACACCCCGCAGGCTTCTGCGGAGCCCAGAGTGGCCAGTGAGCACCGAGCGTAGACTCTGGGTGGGACTCACAGCTGTGCCGAGGAGCTTCTCTTCCGTGGTTGGAAGCACTCATCTAATTGGGTAGAACGTCCACGAGAGAAAGACCTTTTCTACCTCGTCAGACGAGGTGGTGCCAGCCACCTTCATGCATGTGTTGGCGTGCCATGTGTGAGGCGATGCCTGGCCTCTGTCCCTCCCTCCGAAACTCCATGCCTGGGCACCGGCAGCCACGTTGTTGTGGCTTCCCATCTGCCTCTCCTCCAGGGAGAGCGGTGCTCTGAAGCCTCTTCCCTGGTCACCTCACCCCACATCCGTCCTCCCCAGAGCCCTCTACCCGTCCCTCTGGGGACGTATCCCAAAGCTTGGTTTGCCCTAGACTTCTTACTCCGCACACTCTCCCCAGAGGCTGTATCTGCTTTCTAGACTTTTCTGTACTTTCCAGACAACTTTTGGACCTTAGCCCTGGTCTCTCCTGAGCTTCTGCTCATCACCATTGTAGTCAGCTGCGCCCTGGAGGTCCCCGAGTGACCAAGTGCTCCCACATGCTGCTCCAGCCCTGTCTCCTGGGCCTGTGGCTGGTGCTTAGGACAGGAAACTCACTGCCCTCTCCCAGCTCTCCTGCTTCTGTCAGTGATCACAGGTGACCAGGGGCAGAACCTTCCAGCCCTTCTGGATGCTCCCGCAGCCTGTCCATGAAGTGTTGTGTGTCCTGTGTGACATGCCTCTTTAGTCCTGCCTCACTGGCTCCTGCCCCTCCTTGCCCATGTCTTTAATTTTGTTAACCTTCTCTCTGGTCTTGTTCTTTCTGGTGACTTTTACCAGTAAATACATCCCATATCTTCCTGCTGGATTAATTTCTGAAAATGTCACTCCTTCTTAGAAGCCTTCTCTCCTTATATTCTGAAGCTCCCAGCTCCTTTCTTGCCCAGAGAGCCTGGCCGCCACCACCCAGAGCCTCTCAAAGCCCTTGAGCCTCAGAGAGACCATCTCATAACTGCACTTGTCACATGCAAAGCTGTACGTGGCTCCCGTAGTCCTCCCAGCAAGCCTACCAGGAGGGGCTCTGAAACAGGGAACAGGGGCTCAAGAGCCTCGTCCACCTCTGCTCCTCTGTGACCCTGGAGGAGCTCCTGCCTGTACCATTGACGTGGCCCCCACAATTGCCCGAGTGGCTTTCTCTCTCCGCCCCTGTGCTGCGTCCCTGCTGTGCACACAGGGTCTGGTTGTTACTCCTCCTCATACGTCCCAACTGGAACTCGGGGCTCCAGGGCCATGAGCACAGGGTGTCTAGAGGGTCACTTTCAGTTGAGAACATGAAGGCCTAGACAGGTTCATCCAAAGGCCACCTAGCCAGTTAGTAACCTGAGAAACAAGTCCACTGCAGGCCTTCTGGGCTGCAGTGTCCATGTCCCACCAGGATCTGCTCCCACAGATGAGGGGGTCCCAGCAAGGGCTCCTGGGAGTGCGTGCGGTAGCCCTGGTCCTTGATTTGCCACCCACTGTGAGGAACACAGTGATGGAGGTGTCTCTCACCAATGGAGCAGTTACCCCTTTATCTGGTAGAGGCATTAGGATGAAGTTCGGAGGCCAGAGGGGACCTACCAGGTCCCTATGAATTTTCTCGGCATTAAGAATGCTGGGTACCCGGTGGCCAGGGCCATACCCAGACTCTGCCCAAAGCTTCTCACCTGGAAGCTCTCTTCCCACTCAGTCTGGCTCGGGAGGTTTCACGCTGAGATCTGTGTGTTCTTCCCTGGGCCCTGCCCAGGCTCCAGCTCATTTCTCAGGGCCCACATATGGATTCCATCTCATTCTCTCCCCTTGCCCTCTTTTGGAAATCTAGGAATCAGGCTGATCATCTGATACACTCTTTTAATGTAAGCAAGCGGTAGCACTGGGAACCTCTTAACAGCTTTACAGTGGCTCTTCTGAAGGACAAACAGGTCCCTGATGCTGTTCTGTAATTGCCAGAATAATGTGTCTTGTGGGCAGAACACTGTGCTAAGGGACAGCTCCTGCCCGCTGCGGACATGGGCATGCAGATGGCTGGACGGAGGCCAGCACCTGCCGCCCCGTCCTACCCTTGCCTCTAATTGTTCCCCAGTCGCCCAGAAGAACCTTCCACCTGGAGTGGCTACATGGGAAAGATGTTCATGGCTGCTACCAACTACCTCCCCGCCCAGGTGTCGGACATGATGAATCAGGACAGGGCTTTTGCCACCGGACGCTTGAACTTCTCGGGGCAGAGGAATATCTGCACCCTCTCCACGTATGTACCGTGCACCCGCTCTACACAGACACGCCTGTATCATGTACTCGCCCAGTGCTCACAACCCCCAAGGTGGCAGGAAAGAAGGGAAAGGTGGCCCAAAAGAAGGGCGAGCGGACCCAAGCCGCTGCTCTTCCTCTCTGGATTTAATATGGATTCTCAGAGGCCAGCCGGCAGCTGGGTGTAATGACACTGTCTTGAAAACCATCTCTATTTTTGTGCAATTAGGTAAAAAGCCTCAAGTCCCACTGTCTAGATTCCAACCCCTAGGGGCTGTCGGGTATCTTATTTAAGAAGTTTAGGGGAGTTGATTAAAGAAATGGCACATTTTTTAAATGTCATGAACCTAACCACCTAAGAAGGTGAGCGGACAGTACACTTCCTTTCTGTCCCTGTCAAGGGCTGAGGTCCATGTGAGCGAGGGACGTGGCCGTTTGGGTATGCCAGGGTGCTCGCTGGCAGTAGCTTTCCACAGGATAATAGCACCGACACGCCTCGTTTTGCCTCATCCACACAATTATGTTCAAAGACCAGAAATAATCCTGCCAGTGGGCAATGAGCAGAAGGCCAAGGAATGGCCCGAGCCTGGACCTGGACCAGCAGGGCCGAGGGTTGTTGGTGGCAGGGGAAGAGCATTGACGCTAGTCGTCCGGGGAGGCCGACCGTTACCCACCCTGTTCCTGCTCTCAGAGTGTATGTGTCACTTGGCTCTTAGGATCCAGAAACTGCCAAGGCTGCTAGTCGCCTCCTCCAGCGGACACCTTTACATCTACAACCTGGACCCGCAGGATGGAGGAGAGTGTGTCCTAATCAAGACCCACAGGTAAAGACTGCAGCTGTCAGACGGTGTCCCCGAGCTGCTGCCGGAGAGGGAACAGTGACCAGCTTCAGTGCCCCTGCTTTCCTTCCCGGCTCACCAGCAGTTTCAGGGGCAACCCCGGGCGGGCACCTGCTCTGGGTCAAGCTCTCTGTCAGGTGTCTTCTGCGTGCTGTCCCCTCTGGACAGTGCCGGGATGGACAACACTCCAACTAGAAGGTCTTCCTGCTTGGCTCAGCCCCAGTGGGCATTCAGAAATGTCACAGCCCTGAACTGAAAAGTCCTCTGAACTTCTGTGACTAGTGCAAGCTGGCCTCGTCTTGCTGTGGACAAGACACCTTGAGCTGCCACCACACCTTCCCCTCTGCCCCGTCTATGTTAGCTTGTCTCGGTGTCCCTGCCTGGGGGTGCCAGGAAGGACAGAGAGCCAATCTTTGCTTATTAAATATAAGGGAAGGGGGTCCCTTTGAACATAACTGACCCCTGGCACTTTCGGGCCCCTGGAGTTCACACTGACCCAGCAGCGTCCCGGCGGCTCTGTAATTCACACCCAGTAGCCAGGCGCAGGCCTCCGCTCTTCCTTTGGAGGTGTCCTAGATTCCTGGTGATTTCTTTTATCCCCCCCTCCCCCTTCACTGCTGCGAGTAGCTTGCTCGGCTCCGGATCCACAGAAGAGAACAAAGAAAACGACCTCAGACCTTCCTTACCTCAGACGTACGCAGCGACTGTAGCCAGGCCCAGCTCGTCTTCCACCTCCACTGTGCCAGGTGAGTGGAGGTGGGGCCCACCGGGAGCGTCACCAACGGGGCCACCTTCTCCTCTCGGCCCTCTGGGGGTGGAGGCTGTCCCCGAGTTGCGAGTTGCGTGGTTGCCTGGTCCCTGGCAGGTGCGGCCTGTAACAGCCTTCGCCTGGGTCTCGGCCTTCACAGGCTTCCCACGGGGCTCGTTTGCTTAACAGGCAGCATTAACCCTTTGTCTCTTGGAGAACTCCAGAGACAGAAAGTTTCAGGCATTGGAGGTGGATGGGTAGGTGACAGCGGCCCACCTCTCAGAGGCTCAGAGACTAACCGTGGGGACTGACATCCATCTTGAGACATCCCTGCCGTGGGAGGCAAAGACACCTCCCGGGTTTCCTGGTGGTCCTTTCCCCTGAGGTCCTGCCCCGGGTCATGCCGTAAGAACTGACCCTGTGGCTTGTTCCCTTTCCCACTCTTGGCTTCCAGGATACTCTGAGGACGGCGGGGCGCTCCGCGGAGAGGTCATTCCAGAACATGAGTTTGCCACGGGACCAGTGTGTCTTGATGATGAGCGTGAATTTCCCCCTGTGAGCACTAGGAACCCTTGAAAGAGCCGCTCTGTCTGTGCCAGAAGGAAGCTCTGCCTCTGAGAGGAGGCAGAGTCCCTTTCCCTGCTTTCTAGTCCCTAACAACTAATCCTCTCTGAAATCCTGAGGGCCGCAGAATGTCTCTGTGTGTACCTCAAACCCCGCAGAACAGCGGTTAGGTGTCATGCTCAACCTGACAGCGTTAGAATAACCAAGTACTAACCCAGGGTGTTGGGTGCTCACTACCTTCAGAGGCCTCCGCCCCGTTCCTCTGCTTCTATACGCTGACGTCGCACGCAGCTCACAAGGTAGGAACCTCTGTCTGTGGGAGACTCTCCTCTCCCTAGGCTGCCAGGGAGGCTTCTGCAGACCCTGCCTTTCTGCTGCTGGAGGTAGTGAGTTAACAGGGCTGGGTGTGTTTGGGACTCTGAGCTGGCCACAGGGAGCTGAGCGGAAGCTGGGGTGTGGGAGCTCACCTGAGCACCTGCAGGGCTTCCCAGCACCTTGCTCCAGCTGTTCTGCCAGAGAGGCCCCCAAGGCTGGCTGAGCACGGGGCTTGGTTTCTTCCAACATCTGGGTCTGGAGAAAAGATTCTCTCCCCCTGCGGGGAAGAGGGGCTCCCAGGGCCTCCTTGGCTGCTGCTGCTTCAACCTTCTGTTTGGAGCAACACAGACCCTTCTCATAAGCCTCTGTTAGAAAACCTCCAAGAGAGTCCCACCCGAAATCCTTTCAGATGGCAGCAGTGTTGGGCCAACTTGGAACCAGAGAGGAAGCGAGGAGTGGCCATGTGGGGTATGAGCAGCACCCATGGGCCTGGGTAGGGAGTGCCCTGTCCTGATATGGTTTTGTGTCAGGTGAGATCCATTTGTTAAAGACTGACATGCAGGTCTGGCTTCTTTCTGCCCAAGATCCATGGGACAACTTAGTAAGCCTATTTGGCCAAAAAGAGACAGCTCATATGGGCCATTTGTGCACAACTGGGGACATTTGTGACTTCCCACATTGGCTCTGTGAATTGCAGTTTGCAATTTGCATTTCTGGCTTTTAATAGGCAGGTTGCCAAATATGTTGCCCGCCAGCAATATTTATGTGTTAGTGGCGGACAGGAGTGTGCTTAAAAATCCTGATTATAAATTTTGAAAACATCTGTTGGCTTCCTGCCTAAGAGTTGCTTCCTGAGCCCGTTGTTTTGCCTTTGAGTTCTCATGACGCCAACCAGCTCTAAAGGGAGTTTCTCTGTCTCAGGAATTGGTGGTTATTTATCTGAAGTTGTGCCTTCTGGGAACCAGAGCACTCCAGGTTAGACGCAGTGGGGACAAATGTGACCACCCTACTCGATCAAGGTTTAGAGCATCCAAACACTCACTGGGTTCCATTTCAGTAATTTTGGTAAAAATCTGTGAGTACTAGATTACTAATTAGATTCTTAATTGTAATCAGAGCCAACCTTGCAGTCTCTTATATTAAGAGAATTAGGGTAATTAGGCTATTGGCAATTATGAGATAGTCTGTTACTACAGAAAACCTGTGTGAAATAACAGGCACGCTGTGTGCATTTGTTTGGGGTTAAAAATATATATATGAATCGGAGATACTTACTTTAAAAACTGGTACTCAAACTTATCACCAGCCCGTTCACATGTATGCTGCCAGGAAGCTAGGAATGAGCTCATTGTCCTACCACCTTCTTAAGAACCAAGTGAGTGACAGTTGGCTTAAACTGCATCAAGAATCTTTAATGCAAGAGAGATGCTTCCTGCCTGTGAGAGTGCTGGTCACTGAGTCAGGTCCCAGGGAGTATCGGGCAGCCCTGTGTGCAGGCCAGGCATGAGACACTGTCTGGCCACAGGAGGACCAGGGGCGACCACTCCTGGCAGCTGCTCGACATGGCACACCTCAGTTATGCCCACAGGACAGCGATGTCCAACTAGAGATTCTAGAAACTGCCCCCTCTCTGCCTTAATCCTTGCCAGGCCTGTGGCAAATATCTGTCTCTTTACTCATATTCCTAATAGCTTCTGGGACCCCAAAAGGGTCCTGGAGTCCCGGGTTGGTGAAAACCACATCTCTTTCAGAGAGGATCCCAGGCTTGCCTGGGGAGTCTGCCTCAGGACTCCCTGGGCCTCAGCCTTAAGAACATGGGTCGCCACTTTGTAAAATATACTGACGCGGCCCTATGTATTGTCAGTCTTCTCCTTGGGTTTACTTTGCTCTGAGAACAGTGGAAGAAAAGCAAGTGGAGCATTTCTTGCAGCTTAGGAAGAGGCTGTCTTCGGGAGGGTGAGCAACGTCTGTTTCAGTAACAGGCCAATGTTCAATTCTGTGCATTTTGGGAGACAGTCTGAACCCTGTGAGCAAGAGTAAGTAAGGCAATTGGGACCAAGGGTGTCTACTGACTTCTATAATGAGTTAGCAGTCTGTGTTTACACACATGCACATGCGCACTCATCTTATACATAGGTAGCATTTCAGAATCTGTGCCGTCCTCGCCTGCACCTACATAGGACGTGGTGTCTGAGTGAGGGTCAAACTGGGGTTCAGGTGGAAAAGCTCCTCAGTGCCCAGCCTCCTCTGCCAGTCCCCATGGCACAGCCTGCCCTGCGGGTGACCCAGCCTGCCTGCCCGCCAGCCTCTTCCTGGGAAGAGTAAGGCCGTTCTGTTTTGATTTTGGTAGATAAACTTGTGCCGTGGAAGTCAGAAGGGCAAAACGAAGCAGTCCTGACGAGTTGTGCACCTCAGAAACAAGAGGACACCCCCTGTCAGGTGGTTTTGGAGAGAACAAGGAAGGTGGAAGAATGGAGTGCGATTGTGTGAGCAGAAAGGGACAGTCCTGGGTGCTGCACTGCCTAAGCCACAGGACGCGGCTAACGCCTCACCAAGCCCCTCGGCCCTGGCTGCCTGTGGGCATGGGGGACACTGTATCCATACCACGCTGTTTAAAATACCTTCAAACCACAGTGTAAATGTTAGCTAACCATATTGGTCTATAACCGGGATTTTATATGAAAAAGGGCATCCTTTTTAAATGTATGCTGTGTAAAAAAATGTACGTATAGGAAAATCTCTTTGAATTGTATTTCTTGTATATTACATACATGTAGAGAGAGACTATTTTAGCCAGGCAAAGTATTTTTGCAGTGATTGGAATAAATCATTCATTACCTTCAAGTCCCATTTAGGACACTAATAATAAAATCATGGCAATGCATTTTTGAGTTTTCTTAAACTTTATTTCTTGGGAGCTTCAGGGTTCAGGAAGAAGTCTTGACACTACACTCACTTGACCTTTAAAAGGGGGAAAGGAGGAAGGGGTCACGGGCTTAGCCCTGGACTCTCGTGCTCCGAGACCTGGAAAGGGACCTGACTTCACCTGGTCCAGCTCCCCCGCTGCTCCCGGCATCCCCTGAGAGCTGGCCAGTGAGCGCTCGGGCACCTCTGCACCTTTGGAGCCAGAGTCTGCAGTTTTACAGGATCCCAGGTGATTTGTATGCCTATTACAGATGGAAGAGCTGGGGTGTAGCTCAGTGGCAGAGCACTTGCCCGGCATGCATGAGGCCCTGGGTTCAATCCCCAGCAATATAAAAGAAAAATAAAGATGGGGACAGTCTGCACATACTGGTTGGTACTAGTCTGTGCTAATGTGAAGAGGAAACTAAAGCACACCAGGTATCTGCTCTGTGTCAGGTGACACACGATGCATTCTCATAAACTGCTTTACTTAACCTTCGAAATCACCTTGCAAGTGAGGTTAACTGCCCAAGGTCAAAACCTGGGGCTGGAACCTGTGCCTGACTCTGAAGCCGGTGAGCGTTCCACTGCACTACACTCACCACCGCAGAGCCAGCTCCGCTCAGGGGCATCCCTCAGCACAGCACGGAAAAGGGACAGTATGCAAAGAGGAGTTGCCAAGTGGTGGTCCCCAGACAAAATTCCGAGACTTGTTTTTATAGTCTAGGTTGGTAAAGAGGGTAAAGAAGTTTGAAAGTGAACCTGCCCGTCTGATTTCCAGCCATCCCTCCAGTGGAAAAACTGGCCAGTTACGTGGTTTGGCAGCGGCAGACGATTTGGTAGGGATTACAACAGGGAATTACTGAAGGATCCTGTGTGTAATCGGCTCTGGAGATGTTGTCATTGGCAATGTCTTGAAGGACGTCTGCGAGAACCTTCCTGACCTTGGGCAGCACGGCCTGGTACTCGGCACCCCCTCTCTGTAGAGGCTCCCCTTCTGCAGCATCTTCTTGGAGATCGAAAATAAGAGGAGGATCTTGCTGCTGCTCAGGCCCAATGCTTCCGTCACAAGCTCTGGCTCCACCTAGGGAAGGATGACCACAGGCACCTCATCAGACTCACCTTGGCTCTGTGCTGTCAAGAGGAGACCTGGGATTGATTACAAATGAAACATACCAGCACTTGACACCCAGATGACTGTTCTCCCTATCAGAGAAACTGCCACGAGAATCTCTTCCCCCTTCCAGTGACAATCCTGTCATTTACAATGATCTGGAACATCTCCTCGGAGCCAGGAGAACATTCCTCAAACTTCTTTCATCTCTCCCCTTTCAGGGCAAATCGAGTCCTTTGAAAACTGATTTCTTGAATACCAACTGGTGAATTAGATGGAAGGGAAGATGAGTAAATTCGCTTTGGGTTGAAGATGAAATTCTTACATGGATTAGAATCTGGGGCTGCTAACTCAGTCCCAAAAGAGGGATGACAAGAATGTTAGGAGGGACAGCCACATCCTCGGCTGTGAT